TTGTATACAAAAATATTAATGAAATTGTTGACTTCAATCAATCATTATGTCTGTTTTTTTCAGAGTGCAAAGAGTGTCTGCATTTGAAGATTAACGGCCTTGACATTTAAATTGTATTTTGTGCTACATTTCAAATTGTAAAAAAAAAGAAATCCGAGTTGTAGAAAAGATTTGTATCTGCAAATATTATTAAAAATAATTAATTTTCAATTAAAAAAAATAGATATTGAACATTTCTCGACATTCTTTATTTGCAGGAAATTATGCTTTAATTCATTAACATTTAGTATTGGAAATTTATTAAAAAAAAATCCAAGAGAAATTTTGGGAGATTCTAGACAACTTTTCAAATGTTTATATTTAGTAGTAGAATTACATGGAATTCTTCAATTTGAATCTGAACATGTAAACGAGATTTTTTATTCATATTGATGTAGTTTTTGCTTAAAGATGAACAGATTTTGGATAAAGTCTTCACAGTTTTCCAACTGAAACAGAATTGAATGTATATTTTCTATTATAAGATAAAAAAAAACTGTGAATGAGATTGTTGAGAACAATACCTCGCATAGTACGGATTTCCATTAGTCGATTCACTATAATTGATGTAAACGAGATTTTTGATTCACTTTGATGTAGTTTTTGTTTAAAGAGTAAGAGATTTTTGATAAGGATGAAGATATAGAAAATAAAGTTTTCACAGTTTTCCAACTGAAGCAGATTTTAATGTATATTTTCTATTATAAGATTAGAAACAAACTGTTAATGGGATTTTTAAGAACGATACCTCGCAGAGTAGTGAGGATTTCGATTAGTCCGGTTTCAAACTGAAGTTTTACTGTACTTAGAGCAACATTTAATGAAAATATGAACAAAATCTTTGATTCACTTTGATATAGTTTTTGCTTAAAGATGAAGAGATTTTTTAGAAGGATTTAGATATAGAAAATAAAGTCTTCACATTCATCCAATTGAAGCAGATTTGAATGTATATTTTCTATTATAAGATTAAAAACAAACTGTTAATGGGATTTTTGGGAACGATACCTCGCATAGTATGGAATTCGATTAGTCCGGATTCACTATATTCGGGTTTTGAAAATTTCACAACAAACTAAATATTAGTTGAACAAAATGAAAATAAATTCTAAAAAAAAATATTCTTTTCATACAATCAAGTCTCATTTTGTGCGGTTTATTTCTATTTTATTTAGTACCTGGATTAGTCCGGTTTCAAACAGAAGTATTATTGTACTTAGAGTAACATTTAAAGAAAATATGAACAAGATCTTTGATTCACTTTGATGTAGTTTTTGCTTAAAGATGAAGAGATTTTTGAAAATGATTAAGATATAGAAAATAAAGTCTTCACAGTTTTCCAACTGAAGCAGATTTGAATGTATATTTTCTATTATAAGATTAAAAACAAGCTGTTAATGGGTTTGTTGAGAACAATACCTCGCATAGTACGAATTTCGATTAGTCCGGATTCAATATAAGCGGGTTTTGGACATTTCACAACAAACTAAATATTAGTTGAACAAAATGAAAATAAATTCTAAAAAAAATATTTTTTTCATACAATCAAGTCTCATTTCTATTTTATTTGGTTCCTCGATTAGTCCGGTTTCAAACAGAAGTATTACTGTAATTAGAGCAACATTTAAAGAAATTATAAACAAGATTTTTGATGCACATTGATGTAGTTTTTACTTGAAGATGAAGAGATTGTTGAGAAGGATTTAAATATTGAAAATGAAGTTTCAACAGATTTGAATATATATTTTCTATTCTAAGATTTAAAAAGGTTTTGTAATAAGATTGTTGAGAAGACTTGGACTTGAATCCGAAGAAGTTAATGAGATAATTGGCTTCAATTGGAATAGATTGGCTTTGATCGATTAGCAGAGTCTCGAGGAGTGTCTGTCTGCATCGCTGCAAGAAGGGCAAAACAAAAAGCCAGCCGCCTTGACATTTACCCAAAAACATTCATGCACTATAATTGGATCAAAACATTTTAAATGTCGCGGCGAGATAAAACAGAGAGGAAAAAAAAACACCCAACACGAAACGACTTTAGTGTACAGATCACTGAGCGGCGTTAATCTGTTAATGTTTGGGAATAGTTTTATCGGTCCGTTTTAAAATTAGACGCGAAGCGCGGATTTATGACCTCTCTTACATAATCGCGAGTGGAAGCTGCGGCGGGAATAGGAGGAGCGAGAGAAGACACCGGATCGCGAAAGTAAGTAAGTGAATCCTCCTCTCGCTCTCGCCGCTCGCTCAGTCCGCGTGGAATTTTCGTTTCGCGACAATCGCTTCAATAAAAATAAAAATTTTATAATCGTGTCTTGTTTCTTTTATAAAATTCAACTTGTGAAAAGTCTGTGAAGTGCATCAAAGGATTTATAAGTTAATTGTTTTGGGGAAAAAATGCATTGAAGGTTTGAAATTTGATGTTTTTTTATAAACTAAAACTTTCGGTTCCTCTTTCTTTTACACTCCATTTACTTTGTACGGAAATAAAAAAAATAAGTAATAATAAACACGAGTTTAATTGGAAGCAAACGTTACTTTCTAAGTGCTTTGAACGAGTGCCAACGTCCACTATCACTTTATGCCGAATTCACCGCATTTCACCCGTATCTGTTTGCGACATACAAAGTACTCGTTTTTTTTTGTATGCATACATTTCTGTTCTTAATTATTCTTATGATAACGAAATCACGGTTCTCAATTTATTTTAATTGTCGCGTTAATTAAATGAAAAACAACTAAACTTTGCCTCTTCAATTCAAGGACTTGCATATCCTTAATTTGTATATTTATGCAATTTATATGCAGCATTTATAAAACGTTGTACAAAATAAATAAACTAAATTACAAAGATTCGCCAAGTTTTATGCAAAAATCAATTCTTGTTAAAATCTGAAAAATTAATTTTAATTTAATTTATTCTCAAACAAAAATGTAATTAGAAATGTGTATATTGGAATAACTTTACGTTAATTTCTAACAAAAACAGGGTCATACATTTCTGTTCTTAATTATTGTTGTGATAAAGAAATCAAAGTTCGCAATTTATTTTAATTGTTGCGTTAATTAAGAGAAAAACAACTAAACTTTGCCTCCTCAATTCAAGGACTTGCATTTCCTTAATTTGTATATTTATGCAATTCATATACAGCACTTATAAAACGTTGTACAAAGAAAAAAAAACTAAATTACAAAGATTCATCACGTTTTATGCAAAAATCAATTAACTTTTCTTGTTAAAATCTGTAAAATTAATTTAATAAAGTTTTATTCTCAAAAGAAAATATAATTAGAAATGTGTATATTGTAATAAATTTACGTTAATTTCTAACAAAAACAGGGTCATACATTTCTGTTCTTAATTATTCTTGTGATAACGAAATCAAAGTTCGCAATTTATTTTAATTGTCGCGTTAATTAAAAGAAAAAAAAACTAAACTTTGCCTCCTCAATTCAAGGACTTGCATTTCCTTAATTTGTATATTTATGCAATTTATATGCAGCACTTATAAAACATTGTACAAAAAATAAACTAAATTGCAAATATTCATCAAGTTTTATGCAAAAATTAATTAACTTTTCTTGTTAAAATTAATTTAATAAAATTTTATTCTCAAGCAAAAATATAATTAGCAATGATTCACTTTACGTTAATTTTTAACAAAAACAGGGTCATAAAACCATTATCTGTACTTGCATAATGTTTTTTTTACCAAGAATTACTTGAAATAAAGATAAATAATATCTTTATTTAAGTATCATACAACTTTAGTCATTAAAACATTATATTTTCTCAGTGGTTTTCTTGAAAACAGAAATTAAATTGATGCAATAAAGTACAATAATCGACTTAACTCTTTTTGCCTTGAATAACTATAACTATAAGATTATTTTGAATTGCATTTTCAATTTAGCAAGATAAAGTTTATTGTTTATTGAAAGTGGACGTGGAAATTTTTTTGAAAATTAAACATAGTTTTTTAATATAAAAGAAAGATTTTTATACATTTTTCAAATATTATCTCAAATATTGTTAAAAATACTAATTATTTTACAATTATGATAAAAATTGTTAAAAAATTGAATTAAATGTGAATTGGTTAACTTTAATTGTAAAAAATATCAAATTTTTGACCTTAATAAAATAAACATTATTACAAATAATTAGCATTTAAGTTTAGTTTTCATTGAAATTACGTGGGTAAATAACTTGTTTTTGTGTTTTTATTATTCCATAAATTAAAGCAAAATAATTTATTTACTTTTTTTGCTAGAAGAAAAAAAAGCATTTTAGTTTGAAGAAAGTGAACAAAATTGTAGTTTTGTTAGTTAACAAATGCTTTGTAATTTTACACGAAGGATAAATTCATAAGATTTGTATTAATTATACAAAAAAAAAAACTATATAGAAGAACCTTGCTTTATTTTTTTTTATGAAGGTTGATTTTGTATTCATTTATTAGATAAAAAGATTGTGATGTAGATGACTTAATTTTAGTTTTTTTTCGTTAAATTATGATAATTTTATGCAATTGAAAATTTAGACTTGAATTTGTTGATTTTTTTTAAACCGGACTAAACGAAGCCGGATTATGCGAGGCAATGGTTTAATTTTATTGATTTGAAATTGGAAATTCAAGTACTTTAATTGGGACTTAAATGAAGAAAGAAAATTATTGTAAAATAAATTAGATTTTGATGATTTACTTAATTTATTTTTATTGGAAATTACAAATTTATTTGAAATAAACCTATAAAATTTGGTTCTTTGACTATTTTTAGAAAATTATTTTGAATTTATTGAATGATTTAACAGTAAATCATATATTTGATATAGATGACTTAATTATACTGTTATATAATGTATGGAATTGGTAAGTCTTGTGAAAAACTGTTAAGTCTTGATTTTATTATTATTTTGAATTTGAATATTGTTGCTGGGACTTCAATGAATAAAATAAACGTAAATCAAAGAGTTTTATTTGTGTGAACGTAATCAAAATTCTTACTCTAATGTGAGAATCAGTTGGATCGTTTGAAGAGATTCGATAACGGTCGGCAATTAAAGTATGTTAATTACATGCGATTGATTACATGTCCTCGATTACCATTTCTTCGAAGTTCTCCAAATCGCGCGTGGGCCCGACCACATCTTCCGTCACTTCCTCTTCCAAGTTTTTCTCCTCCTTCTCCTCATCGACCTGCGAAAACCATCACAACCTATTTTTACTATCTAAACCAGATCTGTTTACAGAGCAATTATCTATAATTATAGACTGCATTCAAATGCAAGCAAACATAACGAACGAAAAGCGCACGTTGCACGGACCTTGCAATCTATTTATTCTCTGATTCACGTCTCCGTTGCGCAAGTTACTTCTTCTGCATCACCTATTGGTATGCATCTTCATTTACCTGCAATTGACTCGTCGACGGAAGCCCAAACATCGGATTATCGAATGATCGTTCCGCTTCGATGAACGCGCTCTGTCTTCTACGTTCGAAGGATAATCCTCCGTCCTCGTTGTTCTCGAAGCGAGCGAACAGGAACGGCCTCAGATTAGAACCACGTGGAAGAATCCTACACAACATGTTACTTTCATAAAAAAAATTATTTACCAATATGGGCCGAATTTCATTGAATGATCAAGGTCACATCAAGAGATATGCCATCAAATATTCGTGACTTGCACGACAATCCGTACGTTATTATCGGTTCACACGAAAAAAAAAACAACAATCGAACGAAACATGCACACTGCGATTTCCATTACGCAACGATCATAAAAAAATTGGAACGCGCAACAACAGCACAGTTGACAACAAATGCAATTCGAACATAAACAACTTTTGTTTCATCAAACAACAACCAGATTTCAATTGTCTTCAATCCACATAGATTTGATTCAATTTGTAAACTAATACAATGAAGTTCTTCTTTGTATGAAAACTTTGAACAGCTTTCCAAACTTGTAATTGAAGTATTTAAGAACTAACATGAACTAAATTAAATGCGAGCGAGAACAACTCTAAGTTGAAGTCGCTGCAAATCATAACCAGTTCTGCGGAACATGTTGTTAACAGCTTCATTTGATTATCAAAAGACCTGTCCTAGGCTATGATTTTATCGCCTGTAAAGGATGTTAGCGCAGCGATTACGTCGAAAATAAAATTAAATAATACCTGAACGTTATGTCCTTCGGCGAGCCCACGTAGTAATAGTAAATCACGCCGAAGAAAGCCAAAGTTGCGAAGAGAGCCGCAAACATTATACCTAAAGTAACAGAGAGAAATTCGTTGAGCGAAACGTTAGGTCTTCCAGAGTATTGGGCCATGGTTAATTTGACGCGCAAATCAGTCTCTGAAACGTACACCAATTGAATGAAAAAATCATAATTATAATTATTTTTTTTTATAATACCTTGAATCATTTTCTCAACTAATTTTCCAATTTTTATCGATTGCTCCGCGTATTTATCTTCATCGACAATCACCAATTGCAGTTTGTGGTTATCAGAAGGCGGTAGCGTTTTGGTAACGTGATATTCGACGCCTTCGAACTGCTCCAACGAGGCTAGGAAATGGGTCAAATTGAAGTCATCCTCTGGTAACAAGGTTAACAGCGCTCCTGAAATTGCTTTAGAATTGTAGCTTCAATGAATAAGTTAATATTTCGTCGTTAACCGCAAATCTTCGTGCAATGACCGAAAGGATGCACGGGGCTATGGCAATCCTGAGAATCGTTTCTGTAGGTCTTCACGTACTCGCAAATATGCCCTAAAGTGTAAGGGTTTTCTTGGCATCTGCACTTGTTAGGATCCAAACAGGACGAACTCATCAGATTCGTTCCGAAAGACGAATCATCTCTAATCACGTTGATATCTACAAATAAACTTAATTACTTTTGTTCATTAATATTAATTAATAAGTCTTAACTATCCAATTTAAGCATTGAGCGCCATTGATCCTTCGACACTTTAGATCCACCGATGGTTAAAGATTTTACACGAAGCATATCTTCGATCCGTACTGAAAAAGTATTGATATCTGGGAAAACTACATCGTCGTATTGGCAAGGTATCCGTTCCACGTCGACTACGGCTTTGTTAACAAGTTCATCCCAATTCCTTTCATCCAGAACTGAGTGAAACTTGAATTCCTTCAAATTTATACCTTCAAAAATTTCCTTCAATTATTTACTCATTTACAAATTAAAACAAACTTACATAATTTATTGCGCGAATCCAACACGACTTTGGTTCCTTCACCTAAAGTGATCTTTCCGTTATGGGGTAGAACCACCTTGCTGATGTTTATAGAACCTAAGTAGACTTTAGGCTCGAAGCTGTAGGTGAATTTTAATCCTCTGCAACCCGCATCTTCAAAATCCCAATTACTCGCATCCAAAACTCTGGTACTGGCAAACCATTTGCGGACGGCACCTCTGACACCTTTGGAATTCACGATGTAATTGTTTATTTATTAAATTATACTTGTAAATTACCAGAGAAGCAAATCAGAATACAGAGCGTAAGCAATTTCATGTTTTCAGCGTCACCGGTTTTCTGAATTGAAGCTCTTCCAGATTCCGATGAGAATTCGAGTGGGCGTACTTCATCATCTCTTATTACATACAAGAGCTATCAAATACTCATTTATTTGGTATCTAAAATAATAATTAAACGGATTTAAGCGTTAACTAATATTAAGAGCGTATCTATTTTTATCGAAATGATCGACACGAGAAAATGACTCATGGATTCGTAAAAAGTTTGGAACCATCTTGCGAAGCAATTGGCGATTCCCATGACTCACTTTGTCTACAGATGCTGTCCATTTTTATTTTTGCATCTTTCGTACAGCGAAGCAAACGCATCGACTTTAACAATTGTATATGATTCTACAAGGTAATTGAAATTTAACGATCCATGATTCCTCCGGTTTCCTCAAGGAAATAAACAAACGCTGTTTATAATTAGCCGTTACTTAGCAGCCGATAATCGCGAGGAAAGATTCTCTCAGATCTTCATCATTTTTTTCTTGTTGTTGTTGCGCAATTTGCTTAATTAATTTCGTCCGCTTTTCTCAGCTCTTCTCGCAGGAAGGAAGTACCAAAGTCGATTGTTTAGAGCGTAATTTATTCCCAATTAGTTCGTAGCATTGACGACAATTTTATACACGGCGCAAAGAAAACAATTGCGTTTTAAACCACAGAACGGATGTTATAATATTATTTTATTTGATTATTAACTGATTAACTTAAAGTTTAAAGACTGATATTGTTGTATCTTTTAAAGTATTGTTTTTAAAAATCGTGGATGGATGAAGGTTATCGCAAATGGATGTAATCATACACTTCTTGAAACTATTATCGCTGATGAATAGTTTTTAAAAACAGCGGATGTACATAAATTTCGCTCACGAGAGGAATCATTGGTGGGTTATTAATAGATCCATCATCAATTATTCCTCTTCTGTAAACACTGAGTCATTAATGAGCAACGATCGATGGAACGGAGAGAAGTAGATGAAGGAAATAACAAGTAAGAAGTCGGAGAAGGAATAGAAACCCGACTAATTAATATTAAATCGAGTGTCGGAAATTACACGAGGTTTCGATGACGTCGATCGGTACGAATCCTCAAGGAGAATTTAAGGACGAATTTTTGAGACCGACAAAATAATTGTTATTCTCACCGGTATATTCGATTAATTTATTTACTTTCGAGCGTTATTACGTTCTTACGAAACGATATAATTTCTGCTTTTATTTTAAGAAAAATTTCAATAAACTCAACATAATTTCTATATTTACATCAATGTTTTCTTTAACGTTTAATTTTATGAAATAATTCAATAAACAATTAATAATTTTTACAAGAAATTTACTGAAAAAAGTTCGAAATTATTTTTTTATTCTTATTATTATTTTTATTTCAGTATTTATTGAAAAAGTTTGATTTTGTTAAGAAAAATGTCTTTTTTTTATAAGTAATTCATTGGAAAAAAGTTTAAATTTGAAATTATTTCTTGAAAATGTAATTATTCGATAGAATTTTGTAAAAATTTAGAATAATTTCAGTAATTTTTTACTTTTGAGTCGGCAGCGTAATTACGTTCTTTATGTAACACTTTTTTTTAATGGAAAAAGGTTTGAATTTCAATTTATTTCTTGAAAATTTCAGTATTTATTTTAAAAGTTTCATTTACATAAACAATTCTTTTGGAAATTCAATGGGAAAGTTAGAATTTTATATTATTTATTTATTACAAGTTTTATTTTTAATTTTAATAAAAATTCTGTATAATTTCAATATAAATTTAAAATTGAAGTGAAATAAACAATTGTTCTCTAAGGAATTCAATGTAAAATTTTACATTATAAGAAATAAAAGAGGCGCGGTCATTCATTAAGAATGTCGCAGCAAGAATGATCTCACGTTTCTAACTGTATTTAATCTGTGACTTTCATTGTTTATATTTTACAAATTGTATATAAAAAAAGTTAATCACTCGACATTTTATCATCTATTACAAATTGTTGTTTAATAAATAGAAGTGTGGCAATTGCAACTAGTACTAGAACAAAAAGAAAAACAAGAAATAAAGGATAAACTGAGATTAAATTATATAAATATCGGCTAATTAGATACACGAGATAGTTTATTTTGTTGTGTCCTTCGAGTTCTAATAAATTCCTCTCCGCATCTCGATGAAGATAGAGAAAGAAAAAAATAAGAAAAGTCGTACGGTATTCGTCGAATAATCTTTATTGTAACATGATTATTAATTGAAGTTTTTGGGTTTTTTTCGTAATACTTTTAGAACTTTGTGCGTTGCAGTCTTCGGTAATTGAATAATTTAGTTTAATTGATATTCCACGGAGCTCGGGGACTGACCTTCACGTGATGAGGGAGCTCTTGACCCGAGGAATTAATGTACGATCGGTATTTTTTTTTGTTTTTGGATGGAAGAAGAGGTAGGAGAGGTAGTTTGGATGAGTCCTAGGATTCGGAGGTGGCCATGGTTGTGGTGGTGGTGGATGGATCGGAGGTTCTGAAGCAAACACGACGCCGCGCCTCCTCCTATCGACTTATCACCGTTAAACCAACTTGTGTAGTCGCGGTCTATACCGACTGGCCGGTTGTGGTTGTTTAATAGTCATTCGCGATTTGGCGAACGGGAAATTTCGTAGTGACTCCCAAGTTTTAGTAGCATCGCTATTGTTTTTTTTTGTTGCAGTTGTACGCCCACGTCTCTCTCCTAATCACTGATTATATTCACATGATAGGAATTAACGAGGATTAAATCATCAAAATAAAACGTAAGTTATCGAAAACACTTAACAATTATTTCGCAAATACTTCCTTATAATCCAGGAAACGTTTATTTCATAAACAATTATATTTTTTTTAAATAAATACTGTCAAATTTGACACTTCACAGTGTTAAGTAACGTACAACGCCTACTTTATTTGAATGAATGTAAATACCATTTAAAAACTTAAAACAATTAGATTTAACTTCATTTTTGTTCAAAGTAAAGTTTTAACATTTTTTTTATTTATTTGCATAACAATTCAATAATTTTCTTAATTTTATCATTTAGAAACAAACATAACTAATTTTAATGCAATACGACGAAAAAAAAAACTAATTGATAATTAAATACTAATGATAGAAACAGAAAGATTTTTATTCAAATCAAATGGATTTAACGTGTCTTCACGTTACCCAAGGTTTTCCTTGTTTTTTTTTAGACATTAATGCAGATTCTTAGCTGTATTCAATTGATGTTTATTGAAGTTCTGCAAATTGAATTTACTATTAAATTTAAGTTTTTTTTTACAACTATTGTAAAATTAAATTTTTTGATGATTAATTCACAGTTGTAGATTCAAGCATATTTTTAATTGAATATTGAAGGATGAAAAAATTAATTATTAATTAAATAAAAAAAAAATTTAACACATTTTCAAATTTATACTTATTTTACTATTGAATGATAATGGAAATTCAAATTAATTAATAATAAAATAAAGTTCGTTTTTTTTTTAAATTTATTATTGAAGGTTGTAATAAAAATTGTGAAGAAAAAGGTAATTTTGAAATGCATGTCATTTACCATTAAACCATGGTAAATTCCGCTAATAAGCATTAAAAATAAAATTTCAAAATATTGAATTGCGTTTTTTTTATGACTTTCATTGGATTTTAATCATTGTTGTTAAAAAGTGATATATTATATTATCAGTGGATTAATGCTGCAGCTTTTAATTACGAACATTTTTAATTGATTTTAACACTTTTCCATTCATAATTCAACAGTTTTCATATATTTATAAGAAAAAATGGTGTAAAATAAAGATTTTGTTGTTTTTGAATACATTTTATTACTCGTTCAATAATCTTTGACAAACTGTTCAATTAAAAAAACGTATTTTAAAGCTATATTACTCAGCACTATTGGCAATTAGGAATTAATTATGTAACAAAACTAATTGCAGTGGAATTTGCGTAATAACTGAGATAACGTTAAGTTCTAATAGTAATTGCAAAAAAGCAATTTACTAGTAAATGTTATATTCTAATACGATGATTACGGATATATAAAGTAGCGAATTTGATGAAACAGTGACAATATGAAGAAAACAATAAAAAAAACATAGGTTTCAATTTTTTCAATATATTATATTATATAAGTGGATTAATGCTGCAGCTTTAAATTACCAAAAATTTTAATTGATTTTTAAATTTAAAACCTTTCCATTCATAATTCAACAGTTTTCATATATTAATAAGAAAAAATGGTGTAAAATAAAGATTTTGTTGATTTTGAATACATTTTATTACTCGTTCAATAATCTCTGACAAAGTGCTCAATTAAAAAACGTATTTTAAAGCTATATTACTCAGCACTATTGGTAATTAGGAATTAATTATGTAACAAAACTAATTGCAGTGGAATTTGCGTAATAACTGAGATAAGGTTTATTTTTTCGAATAGTAATTGGTTGTAATGTAATTGAAAAAAAGGTAAATGTTATATTCTAATACGTAGATTACGGATATATAAAGTAGCGAATTTGATGAAGCACTGACAATATGTTTACAGTTACTTTACCTTAAAGAAAACAATAAAAAAAACATAGGTTTCAATTGTTTAGTAATTTGCGTTGTTGGTTGTTGTTTCAAGCATTGCGATAACGTTTGTAATTTTAAAAGAAGTAAATCGTGTCTTCATTTAGTAACGCACACAAATGAAACCTTCAAGTACTATATATGGGTCAAAATGACCCGTTTATTAAAATTAAAAAAAAAGAACAAATTATTACAATTTTTGCAACAAACACAGATTAATTCGTATTATTTAAGTAATTTAACATCAAAAAACTGATTTTGTTGTTCAGAGGTAATTTTTTTTTGAGCAAATTGAACAAATTGTTTTTTTGCACTACTTTGTTCAATTATAACTTAAATTATATAATTTTTATAACAATAACAACTTTGTTATAAAAAAAATGTTTGGAATATTTCATCTGATTTCAGAAATAATAAATAACATCTGCGAAGGCTTGATTATTAACAAAAAAAAGTACAAAACTTTCGATGTAGATTTTACTTTTATATTTAACAGAATTGTTTAATGAATTATTCAATGTGATTTTTTATATTTGAATTATTATTATACTTTATAGGTTATATATTTTTTTTTAACAAAGGTGTTGAATATTGTATGTGATTTGTTGAATGTGATTAGTTAAGTTCCGTATTGAAGGCAGCAGCATCGTTAATATCAATAAGTGCAGTAAAGTTATGGGTCGCGCATGGAATGGTAATAAGTTTCAAGTAAATCAGCGTCGTAACGAGCCGCAAATTGCATTAATTAATGAATCCGGAGTGGATGCGTTATACAATTAGGTCGTATTAATGGCTCTAGTATGCAATGCAGCAGATGTGGCGGATTTGTGTTTGCTTATCGAGAGCTTTGATCTCGCCGATTCTTCGTAGGAGAATTAAGAACAAATTAAAAATCATGCAGATGCTACACAACACAACACAACACAACACCTAGGATGTACCGCAATTAAACGGACACTAGATCTTCGAAACGTCGGAGAGTAGGCGAGAGGTTGGTTCTTAAGAGGCGCGTAGGTCAAATAGCTGAGAAGACCCGACCGACCAACCGCCTAACATCTGCTCGTTCCCAATAACCAAAAGGCCGTGCAAACTGAATAATTGGCTTCGTTAAATTACATCCGATGCGAGAAACGAAAACTAATCTCCGAACAAATATTTGGCATATGTCACTTATTTTTTGTTTGTTTGCGTAATCTATCTAGTATTGATAAGCATCAATTCGCATAGTAGGCGCAATAACAAAAATTTAAAAAAAGATACTCTTTTAGGTGGATCAGCGAGTAACGGTGCTTTTTCGCAATCTATGCAAATCCTCTGCCAATGATTGCGTAAGACGCGCTGCGTATAAATTGATAATGGCCATGATATTAGATCATTATAGCGCTTCCTGTCAATTTGTTGCTAGCGCTATTTTGAGGCGTGCGAGAGCGCTATTGCTATTAGACTATATTGCATATTAACGTGTGTGTGTGTTTCCAGCATGCGAAAAGGCAACCCGTGGGAAAAGTTCATCAACGTCTCTTGACTTCTTCCTCGGAATAGTGATTTGTTACTACTACCATCACCTCGCATAAATTTGTACGGACACATCGCACATTAATTCTTCGCTTATAGTTTTGAATGCCATAATTTCATTTCGGTCCCACGTACAGTTTTCATTGATAGAATACATTTGAGAATATTAAATTAATGAAAATTCGGTTGTCGAACGAAGCACGTTCTTAGTGGTTGAAAAAGTTCGAAAACCGAAACCTCTTGTTAATCGAATTTACATTTACTTTATATAGTTGAATGACATTATTTCAGAAGATTAAATATGAGAATTTTTATTTAAAAAACAAACAGTGAAAACTCCGTTGTCCAACAAAATATGTTTTTTGGTAATTGCATAATTCGCAATGTTTGAAAAAGTTCGAAACCGAAACGAGTTGTTAATTGAATTTACATGATCTGATATAGTTGATTGTCATACTTTCATCAATTTATCGTACAGTTTTCATAAATATTGTCTGAAGAATAAATTTGAGGATTTTCAATTCAAAAAGAAAATCAGTATCAAAATGCAAATATTAGTAATCACACTTTAATGCAAATTACAGTGAAAATTCTGTTGTACAATAAAACATGTTCTTTGGTAATTGCATAATTCAGTTTAATTGATATTATAATAATCCAATTTTAAAGCAAATTACAGTGAAAATTCGATAGTCGAACAAAACACAATGGTTGAATAAGTTCGAAAACCGAAACCAGTTGTTAATCGAATTTACATGATTTGATATAGTTGATTGTTATACTTTCATCAATTTATCGTACAGTTTTCATAAATATTATCTGAAGAATAAATTTGAGGATTTTCAATTCAAAAAGAAAATCAGTATCAAAATGCAAATATTAGTAATCACACTTTAATGCAAATTACAGTGAAAATTCTGTTGTACAATAAAACATGTTCTTTGGTAATTGCATAATTCAGTTTAATTGATATTATAATAATCCAATTTTAAAGCAAATTACAGTGAAAATTTGATAGTCGAACAAAACACAATGGTTGAATAAGTTCGAAAACCGAAACCAGTTGTTAATCGAATTTACATGATTTGATATAGTTAATTGTCATACTTTTATCAATTTATCGTACAGTTTTCATAAATATTGTCCGAAGAATAAATTTGAGGATTTTAAATTCAAAAAGAAAATCAAAATGCAAATATTAGTAATCTCATTTTGAAGCAAATTACAGTGAAAATTCCATTGTCCAATAAAACATGTTCTTTGGTAATTACATAATTCAATTTAAGTGCATGGAATAAGTGTTAATAAATACATTTTAACACAAATTTGAGTGGACATATGGTTGTTCAACGTTAAAAAAGTTCGAAAACCGAAACCTGGTTTTCACATAGAACTTATTGAAAATTTGTATAGTTTTACAGTCCTGATGATTGATTATTTAAACTTTCTTATAACAATTAATGATAAAATTCGAAGAAGAAAAGAAATATAATATAATCTAGTCTTACCTTAACAATTTATTGAAATAATTTTGTTGTTGTTAATATAATTTGTGTAAATTCGCATGCATTATTTACATTCAACTATTGTTAATCGAATTTACATGATCTGATAAAGTGGATACACACAACATCGGAGGTCTCGTGATTCCGCGAAGAATCGTAGCAT